CACTAATCTTGAAAAGTTCCAAAAGTCTCTAAGGGGAAAGTAGGGATTATGATTTTTACTTTATATATGAGAAAAAAGAAACTCAGAGCAGTTAAATGACTTGCTTAAGATTATAAATGTAATGAGTAGTCAATAAGAAGAAAAGGCAGAACTTGATATAAACCTTCTCACCCTATGTCTCTTGCTCTTTCCAAAGCATTTCTTTGCATCCACAAATCATAGTCCCATGGAAGACATAGAACATCTTTTATGGCCTTCTGAGGACTTGATTTTACTTCTGTCTTGACACTTTAATTCTTTGTTTAGAAGAAACTATGATTTCTTTTGCAAAATTCCAGTGAACCCAGAAGCCATGTCTACTCTCATTTATCAAATCTGAAAATTCTGCTGGCTATTCTTGTGAGCAAAGAGTCTCCTGTCATGCTCTATCTCACTACCATCATCATTGACTTGCTGAGCTCATACTTGTGCTGGGTGTAGAGGATAATAACAATTTTAGATATGGTTTTCAGGTTTTTATCATGCATTTATAAAGGTAGAGCATATGCATAAAAATACAAATAAATCTAAGTACCAATTAAATGGTTCAGACACTACTGTATAGAAGCCTGTACACCGTAGGCACTATAGACATTTAAATTAAGGAATTGGTGCAAAGGGCTCTAATGGCAGCAGGAAAGGTTTACTATAGGGAGTGAAATCTAAGGAAAGTTTCACTTACAAATAAATTATAAGTGTAGTAAGATACATACACTGGCTTAAGAGGAGTGTTTTTATAGCAGTAGTAGAAAATTCATTTGAAGATGCAGATAAGAATTATATTTTAGAGTACCCTGAATGAAGGTTTAAAATCTTGGCTTTTTTATTCTGAAGGCAACATAAGATTATTGAAGTAATTAACTTTAATATCATGGTTGATATTGTAGAATTCAGATTAACTAAGAGCCTGCTTCTTATCCTCAGAATCCAACTTCTTTTTACTATAAAAGCATTATGTCTTTATTATAGAAATACCATAAAATACATTAAAAGAAATTTATAAAATCTACAGTCTCATGTTCCAGAAACTTTTTCTATCTGTACAGATGGATGCATTCTCACACACACACACACACACACACAGTAGGGGGATTCTACCTTGAGAAGGCTAAACTAGGATTCTGAAGTCTGAGTATGTGTGTTAAACCACCTGGAAACTATTTTCAGGAAAGGTTGTGGCTGAAACCATTTAGGTGGTAGGGGATGGGTAACGAAGAATAGTATAGGGGAGAGGTCAGCAAATTTATGTGAGGGGCAAGACAGTAAATATTTAGGTCTCATGGGCCATATGGTTTCTTTTTTTTTTCGGGTGGGCAATTTTTTTTAACATCTTTTCTTTTTTTTTTTTTTGCTGTACACGGGCCTCTCACTGTTGTGGCCTCTCCCGTTGCGGAGCACAGGCTCCGGACACGCAGGCTCAGCGGCCATGGCTCACGGACCCAGCCGCTCTGCGGCATGTGGGATCTTCCCGGACCAGGGCATGAACCCGTGTCCCCTGCATCGGCAGGCAGACTCTCAACCATTGTGCCACCAGGGAAGCCCTTAACATCTTTATTAGAGTATAATTGCTTTACAATCGTGTGTCAGTTTCTGCTTTATAACAAAGTGAATCAGTTATACATATACATATGTCCCCATATCTCTTCCCTCTTGCATCTCCCTCCCTCCCACCCTCCCTATCCCACCCCTCTAGGTGGTCACAAAGCATCGAGCTGATCTCCCTGTGCTATGTAGTTGCTTCCCACTAGCTATCTATTTTACGTTTGGTAGTGTATATATGTCCATGCCACTCTCTCACTTTGTCCCAGCTTACCCTTTCCCTTCCCCGTATCCTCAAGTCCATTCTCTAGGGGCCATATGGTTTCTGTTGCAACTACTCAATTCTGCCATTGTAGTTTGGAAGCAGCCAGAAACAATATGTAAATGAATGAGTTTGGCTGTGTTCCAATACAACTTTTATGGAAATTTTAATTATGGAAACTAAAATTTCATATAATTTTCAGGTGTCAAGAAATGTTACAATACCTAATAAGTTTCTGTTTTAGTAACAGCAGAAGCCAACACAGATATGTGTTCTATCACAAGGCACCAGGAGTAGAGGCAGTGGGAAGCACTGAAAAAGGGGGTGCTCAGAGTAGAAAACTAAAGAATAGTTCCGAGCAAAAATAAGTCACCCTCTGCACCCCAGAAAAACTTTAAGGCTTTCACAGGTATTGACTTCTTTTAGCTAATGGAACACAAAATTTTAGGTTTTTATAAGTGATGTAATTCCATTAAGTATGTACAAGCTGGTGAGGTGAGGTCTAAAGAAATTTAGGATACAAGCAACAAACATGTATGTATCCATATATATATTTATACAAATATGAGATTGTCTTATATGTATTAAGTTCTTTTTAAACATATTGATTAACATATTATATACATCTTCTCATGTCAATAAATATTCACCCATAATATCACTAGTATCATCTGCACCTCCAATCATACTCTCACTCCCCACTCTTTCTGCACCATTTAATAGAATATCTGACACACCATCTTCAGATTTGCATTTGCTACCATGGTAAATGTTAATATTAGTGACTTTTATTTGTGACCTTAATTCCCCAGTTTCACAATGTTTGTTTCCTAAATTCATATAGAAATGTGTGTTTGTATATTCTATTTTAATGAAAAGCATCAGAAATGCTACCTCCAAGAAATCTAATTACATTAGAAAAAGCAAGTATTGTGGCCCTGGTTAAAATAATTTTATAAAATGGCCAAAGGCATAAGGTTTCCAAAATAAGCATTCAATTATTATTGATGCTAGAATATCAGGTTTATTATTTACAAGGACACCATGGCTCTTCCTCCTCAAAACAAAAGACAATGGCTCTTGGACTAATAGCACATGGTACACATGGTTTGAAATAAACACTGAAACAATGAATATGGGTAAATGGGTATATAACTATTTGAAATATTTATATAATTTTTATTAAAATTATCAGGTTGCATTTCCATAACAAAACAAAAATTTGCATGCATGCTGAATGTGTTTTTAAAAACACATTACTAAGCACAGATATATGGATTTAACTCAAGCATTATGACTTAAAAAAAGCTATTTGCCTAACCTTTATTGAACTTACTCTGGTAGGAAGTACGGATCCGTTTCGTTAAATCAGGATAAAAGTTAGACAGGCCACGCATGCAAAAGTTGTCTTTGGAACATGCCAGAACACCAGCATCAGCAGCAGGCAGAAGAAAGAGAGAAAAATAGTCTAAAGTGAAAGGAAGTGATATCATACCAGAATATAGAACAGCCAAGATGAAGAAATTGCAGCAAGTTTAGGTAATCAAATTAGAAAGGAGATATTAAAAAATTAAATCAATTAGAAAGTGAGGTGATAGATGAATGATGAGAATGCTGTAGTAATTTTATTTAATCAAATATCTTATAAAAATAAATGGCATATTTCTCTTTATGCTTTTTACATAGTAAACTTATTTAGCTTATAAGTAATATGTATGTTACCTCATAAATATAAAAATGGTTGTCTTTAATCTTCAGTATTAACAAGAAAGCTTAGGGATTTTAGTCTTTTTTTTAAATAACAGAGTACTCATTATATATACTAAATACAAGCAGAGTTTACAACTTCATCACAGTTTTTCCTAATTTTAAAGTCATTAAAATTCTGAGCTCTAATCATAATTTTTGAGGCTCAGTAAGTTTAAATTAAATAATAATTGTATTACCTCTGTCAAAATATATACTTTGTCATCCCACTGTGTATATCCAGCAAGTAATTTAGATGTTGTCTTAGGATCCACAGCTTTTCTGATTGAATTAGTGTTTCAGCATGCAAACAGTGCCTACTATCCCCTAACATCTTTCTATCAATCAAGAGTCCATGAAGTTTCAAAAGTCAACTTTCTCTTTCTCAATCGTGAGGGGATCTCATGGTATATTCATGCACAATTTCTCTTACTTTGCCTTTCTTTCAAAAGCCAGTAGTGGTAGAAGCAGAACCTGTCTAATTTTACATTGCTAGCACTCATAAAATATTGCTAAAAGTTGAGATCCCTAACAAAAAACAAAGAAACTCCAGGTTCTGAAGGAGAACTTTTGTGCTCCTGAAAAGGGTCTAAATTAGCAATTTCGAAAGGGTATAGGTTTACAAAAGAAAGATTAACAAACAAGGAGAATTTCAGTATATCAAGTAATTTTTCATTAGTTCAAAAGGAAACTTCATTTATTACCACATTCAGATGTTAAATTTGGCACATTTGCTATTTAGAAAATAACACCTACCATAATGTACTCTTTTTACTTTAAAATAGTCTTTACGTGGGTATATTTAGTAAAAGTGTCAATATTCAACTGATTATTTTAAAAAACAGTAGAAAATTTTAAAAACTGTATAAAATAACACATAATACTATAGTTGCATTTCCACCTGCAAACCTTTTAGCTCAGCCAATATTTTACCAACTAAACTATGTCAGTGGACAGAAAATATACAAAATGTTGGCAATGTTTGCAAAGCCAGCTATTTGGATATGTACTGAAATTTTAGTACAACTTTGGATAATTTGGCATATCAAGGTTTGGCGTTATGCGTAGAAAGTATTTTGGCTTGTATTTTACTAACTTTGTATGTTTTTCTAATTTGTCAAGAAAAATATCATCTTTCATAGCATTTTAAGATGTTAATAATGTTTACTGCATTTGTGAAAATACCTCCAAGAAAGTCACCATCCAACAAGGAAAGGTGACAGCCAAAAAATGGAGTTACTTTAAAATATTAAAACTAGTGAATGACCTTAAGTTATATTTTTAAAGCTATCATATATTAGAAGAAAACTATCCCAGTTAACACAACCATTGCAAGCAGCTTTTTCAACTAGATAGCCTGATTTTAGCATTTTTGTATTTAATACCTTCTTATCTTTTGTTATTTTTTAGGAATTCAACTTAAGAAACTTGAGATCCTTCCTAACGTTAACAACAAATTGAAGTTTAAACACCTCCTTTACCCTTTCAAAGATTCTTACTATGTTTCTGACCAATTTTACTTACGTGGTATTGTAAAGTATGTTGACTTTATATTGCTGTGCCTTTGAATAGCATCACAGAAGAAAGACAAGAAATCTAAAGGTAAGAAAACAGGTGAACTAATCAAGTTCATAATGATCTTATCTCCTACCTGCAATGAACTGCTTGTTTTTTCGAGGAGACCGTGGTTGTCGTTGGTACAGGTCACTTGATCTATATAGGTCAATGGTCCCCATGCTTAACAGTACTGTCTTCTGTATAAAATCCACCACAGCCAACCCATTGCAGTTCCCAAATGCAACTCTGAGAGAAAAAAAAAATGCAACTAGAATGTATTACACCAACCATTATTATTTTTATCTCTGAATTTAAAAATAAATAAGATTATTGGAAAGTAATGCTTTAGGGTTGGGTAAGTCAGGCAGTGACTGGTGAAAGTCAGGAAGGATATGGTGCCTTTACATAGGATACGTTAACCTTATATAATAGCCATGACCACTGCAAAAAATAGGAATGACCTGCAATCATATTTTCTCATATATTTTATCATGTAAGTAGTGATTACTCAACTTGCTCTTTAACTTGATTTTATGTTTTTACAGATGAATCATATAAAATCTTTTTGCTATGAAGGGGGGGACAGATCAAGAAATGTCATACTTCAATAGCTACAGCTGCTTAGGTATGCAATTAGGTGACTTTTTTCAAAAATAATAATTATTAGGTTCGAAATTAATTCTCTTCTTAAACAGAGTGTATACTTAACACAAGATTTTACATAAAGATTAACTACATATATCAAAGATTTTGACACCATAGTAGGTATGAACAGAGATCTAACTCATTCACAAAAATTTAAAAATTTCTCAATCTTTTGTTCTTTATTTTGTCCCATTTACTAAAATACAAAGGCCATTTGATTAATTTCTTAACTAAATCTCCTGAAAAATTAAAATGGATCTCCTAAGCAGGCATTTTGGTCACCTTAACAACTGGCATACACTAAACTCTCTTTTTGCTCCATTTACAACATGCCCTTTAGCTGAACAATTGTAAATCTGCTTTTTGTTTCCTAAAGTAAATATAAAATAGTTGTATAAAAGTTGTTTTGCTCATTTTATGTAATTCCACGTTGTTTTTATTACTTAGATTGAATATGACTGACAAATCATCCGCTTACTCTAAATCTAGTTATTTCTATTCCACCATATTGCCTTCCTCACGAAAAGTGAAAAGTTTTGCTACCATACTATACTAGATGTTTTGCTATTTTACATAAAGTTCTACATCTTCCAGGAAGACAGACTCTGGAAAATTGGAAAAAACATTGTTATAAAAGTCAGAAGATCCTATCTCATCATTTATAGGTTATGCGATTGAGAAAAATTAATGAATCTTGTGAGGCCTTAGCTTCTTTACTTTGTAATGAGAATTATAACGCTAGATTTATCTAGTTCACAGAGCTTTTATTAGCATCAAGTCACAAATGTTATTAAAGTAGTTTGAAAAATTTCCACACAAAAGTAGAACTGATCTTAATATTATTATAAGTGCAATATTATACATACTATATATTGTAGCAAATTAATATCTCTAAACTTTTAATGTTAAAAAGTAGTTAATTACTTCTGCTTACAGGTATGAGAGAGTTCCCAAATGCAGTACTGAGAAGAGAAAAAAAGGCAACTAGAATGTATGACACCAACAAAAATATTTTTCTTTTTGAATTAAAAATAAGAATACTGGGGACTTCCCTGGTGGTGCGGTGCTTAAGAATCCACATGCCAATGTAGGGGACACGGGTTCGATCCCTGGTCCGGGAAGACCCCATGTGCCGGGGAGCAACTAAGCCTGTAAGCCACAACTACTGAAGCCCATGTGCCTAAAGCCCGTGCTCCGCAACAAACTCCACCGCAATGAGAAGCCTGTGCACCACAATGAAAAGTAGCCCCCACTTGATGCAACTGAGAAAGCCTGCATGCAGCAACAAAGACTCAACGCAGCCATAAATAAACAAGTAAGTAAGTAAGTAAGAATCCTGGAAAGTTATACCTTAGGTTTGGGGAGGTTAGGCAATTGTTGTTGAAAAGTCAACATGGATACTGGATTTAATCTCCTACCTTAACTAGGAAGCTGAACAAAATATATTAAACGGCAGTCTTCACATATTGGTCAACAGGCAACATAGAATAAGATGAGAGAAGGATAACAATCGAAGTAAACTTTAGTTTAAACTAAGTGTTCTAGCTTACTGAATGGAGAGATTTCCCAGGAAACTGAAACTCAAGGAGAGATCAGAAGTCTCACCAAACCAAGGAGACAGAAATCAGAGTCTAATGTGGCAAAAACAGAATTTATGAGGCAAAATACTAGAGAGAAGAGAGCTGCATAGATAGAATACACCAGAGATTTATAGAACGGTTCTCTTGAAATTTTGTCTGGGTACTGATCTGTGCATCCATGTGAATAAACTACTCCAGGCTTGGGAACAAACCACCAAAAGGATAAAGCAGAACAATTCACAAAGCTCATACAAGGCTGAGAATATTTCATGTCACTACCAGCCAAACTGCTGAGATCTCCAACTACATGGGAAAACAGATATAGGGGTGTCACTTCAGTAGTGGGAACAAATTAGCCATAAACTAAAGGCTTTTCTAGACCCACCCTAAAAAAGCTTAAAAATTGATTCTAAGTAACATAACTTCCTTCCAGATAACTATCTATTGAAAAGAATCCAACAAAATATCACCATAAATGTAAAATTCACAATGTTAACTATGTGAAAAGTAGTAGGTATCAAGAAAAAGATGGATAACCAGAGGAAAAAAGTAAATCACCAGAAACATACCTAGAAATAAAAGAGATGATAAAATTAGCAGAAAAGGATATTAAAAATGCTTTGGAAAATATATTCCAGATATTCAAGAAGGCTGAGGAAAACATGAATGTGATAAAGTGAGAATTAGAAGATATTAAAAAGACTCAAATTTTGAGAGGTAATTTAATCATTTCAGATATATTTTTATCTGAATATTAGACATCATAGCAGAGAAGAATAGTGAACTTGAATAAAAAGCAATAGAAAATTTCCAAAAAGAAACATGAGAGAGAAGAAAACCCCAAAGCATCACTGACCCCTGGGACAAAATTGAGCAGTCTAGAATAAATGTAATTGGAGCCTCAGAAAGGAAGATCAGCAGAAAACATATTTACAGCAATGAAACCAAAATAGCAAAATGATAGCCAAACTTGGTAACAGTAAACCTAAAGATCCAAGAAACTCCTAAGCAGAATAAACAAAGGAAAATACATCATCACACTGTTGAAAACTAGTGATGAAGAAAAAATGTTAAAAGCAGCCAGAGAGAAAAGATATATTTCCTACACAGAGGCAAAGATAAGAATGATGAAATCTACTCACTGGAAACTACACAGTCCAAAATGACATGACATCTTGAAAGCAACAAATGATTATAATGGGTCAAAATAAAATTCTATACTCAGCACATATCTTTCAAATGGTGAAATACAGATTTTTACTCATGAATAAAAATCTGAGGGAGTTCATCACTAGGAGACATGTACTATAAGAAATAATAAAGGAAGAGATTGGTTCAAAATGGCGGAGTAGAAGGACATGCTCTCACTCCCTCTTTCGAGAACACTGGAATCACAACTAACTGCTGAACAATCATCGACAGAAGGACACTGGAACTCACCAAAAAAGATACCCCACATGCAAAGACAAAGGACAAGCTGCAATGAGATGATAGGAGGGGTGCTATCACAATAAAATCAAACCCCATAACTGCTGGGTGGGTGACTCACAAACTGGAGAATACTTATACCATAGAAGTCCACCCACTGGAGTGAAGGTTCTGAGCCCCATGTCAGGCTTCCCAACCTGGGGGTCTGGCAATGGGAGGAGGAATTCCTAGAGAATCAGACTTTGAAGGCTAGTGGGATTTGATGGCAGGACTGGGGGAACAGAGACTCCACTCTTGGAGGGCACACACAAAGTAGTATGCACATCGGGACCCAGAGGAAGGAGCAGTGACCCCATAGGAGACTGAACCAGACCTACCTGCTAGTGTTGGAGGGTCTCCTGCAGAGGAGGGGGGCAGTTGTGGCTCACCAGGGGACAAGGACACTGGCAGCAGAAGTTCTGGAAAGTACTCCTTGGCTTGAGACCTCCCAGAGACTGCCATTAGCCCCACCAAACAGCCGCGGTAGGCTCCAGTGTTGGGTCACCTCAGGCCAAACAAGCAACAGGGAGGGAACCCAGCCCCACCCATCAGCAGACAAGTGGATTAAAGTTTTACTGAGCTCTGCCCACCAGAGCAACAGTCAGCTCTACCCACTACCAGTCCCTCCCATCAGGAAACTTCTACAAGCCTCTTAGATAGCCTCATCCACCAGAGGGCAGACAGCAGAAGCAAGAAGAACTACAGCCCTGCACCCTGTGGAATAAAAACCACATTCACAGAAAGATAAGATGAAAAGGCAGACGGCTATGTACCAGATGAAGGAACAAGATAAAACCACAGAAAAACTAAATGAAGTGGAGATAGGCAACCTTGCAGAAAAAGAATTCAGAATAATGATAGCAAATATGATCCAGGACCTCGTAACAAGAACGGAGGCAAAGATCCAGAAGATGCAAGAAATGTTTAATAAAGACCTAGAAGAATTAAAGAAGAAACAGATGAACAATACAATAGCTGAAATGAAAAATACACTAGAAGGAATCAATAGCAGAATAATGGAGGCAGAAGAACGGATAAGTGACCTGGAAGACAGAACGGTGGAATTCACAGCTGTAGAAAAGAATAAAGAAAAAAGAATGAAAAGAAATGAAGACAGCCTAAGAGACCTCTGGGACAGCATCAAACGCAACAACATTCGCATTATAGGGGTCTCAGAAGAAGAAGAAGAGAGAGAAAGGACCCGAGAAAATATCTGAGGAGATTATAGTCGAAAACTTCCCTAACATGGGAAAGGAAATTGCCACCCAAATCCAGCAAGTGCAGAGAGTCCCATACAGGACAAACCCAAGGAGAAACATGCCGAGACACATAGTAATCAAATTGGCAAAAATTACACAAAGAAAAATTACTGAAAGCAACAAGGGAAAAATGACAAATAACATACAAGGGAACTCCCATAAGGTTAACAGCAGATTTCTCTGCAGAAACTCTACAAGCCAGAAGGGAGTACATGATATACTTAAAGTGATGAAAGGGAAGAACGTACAACCAAGATTACTCTACCCAGCAAGGATCTCATTCAGATTCGATGGAGAAATCAAAAATTTTACAGACAAGCAAAAGCTAAGAGAATTCAGCACCACCAAACCAGCTCTACAACAAATGCTAAAGGAACTTCTCTAAATGGGAAACGCAAGAGAAGAAACGGACCTACAAAAATAAACCCAAGATATTTTTTGATCCACCTCCTAGAGTAATGGAAATAAAAACAAAAATAAACAAATGGGACCTAATGAAACTTAAAAGCTTTTGCACAGCAAAGGAAACCATAAATAAGACGAAAAGACAACCCTCAGAATGGGAGAAAATATTTGCAAACGAAGCAACTGACAAGGGATTAATATGCAAAATATATAAACAGCTCATGCAGCTCAATATTAAAAAAAAAAAACCCAATCCAAAAATGGGCAGAATACCTAAATAGACATTTCTCCAAAGAAGACATACAGATGGCCAAGAAGCACATGAAAAGCTGCTCAACATCACTAATCATTAGAGAATCAAATCAAAACTACAATGAGGTATCACCTCACACCAGTTAGAATGGGCATCATCAGAAAATCTACAAACAACAAATGCTGGAGAGGGTGTGGAGAAAAAGGAACCCTCTTGCACTGTTGGTGGGAATGTAAATTGATACAGCCACTATGGAGAACAGTATGGGGGTTCCTTAGAGAACTAAAAATAGAATTACCATATGACCCAGCAATCCCACTACTGGGCATATATATACCCAGAGGAAACCATAATTCAAAAAGACACATGCACCCCAATGTTCACTGCAGCACTATTTACAATAGCCACATCATGGAAGCAACCTAAATACCCATGGACAGACGAATGGATAAAGAAGATGTGGTACATATATACAATGGAATATACTCAGCCATAAAAAGGAACAAAATTGGGTCATTTGTAGAGACATGGATGCATCTAGAGACTGTTATACAGAGTGAAGTAAGTCAGAAAGAGAAAAACAAATATCGTATATTAGCACAAATATGTGGAACCTAGAAAATGGTACAGATGAACTGGTTTGCAGAGCAGAAATTGAGACACAGATGTAGAGAACAAAACATATAGACACCAAGGGGGGAAAGTGGCGGGGGGTGGTGGTGGTGGTGTGCTGAATTGGGACATTGGGATTGACATGTATACGCTGATGTGTATAAAATGGATGACTAATAAGAACCTGCAATATAAACAAACAAACAAACAAACAAAACAACTAATACTAAACTTTCTTTGGGTTATTTGTATGGAAATATGTTAATATAAATGTTTCAGACATTACATGAAATTTCTAAAAATCTTATATGTTCTGGTATAATGTTATATGTCATAATTCTAGTTATTACTTTAAAATGTATATCTCAGAAATAACTAAATTTCCTTGTCAATTGCATTATTATGAACTTTCATCAAATCTTTAACCGTGGTCATTTTTAAGTCTTTTGTCATTTACAGA